GGTGGAAATACAAATCCAGTTCTACTCATCTCCAGAACTTGTTCTCTTTCTAACACAGCTCCCCACCAATCAAATCTGCTCTCTAAAAGGGACTCTATCCCAAGCAGGGCCCAGTGGGAACCCTGGCCAGCTCTGACCACAGCCCCACTGAATAAAGGCCAGCCTCCTCCACTTTCTGCTTCGTCTTCCTCTCTGTCCCTCCCTGTCCAGGCCCCTGCAAGTTTCCACTCCCACGCCAACTGCTTTTCAGGGCTGTCTGTCACCCATACCTTACAGCCCACTCGATGCAGAGCAAACAGGTACTGACTTCAGAATTACTCACGCTCTAAAGTACAGCTTGTGATTGGCGCGGTCACCCTGAGATGACAATCTATGGACTGTACCAGGGGTCTGACCCTCTTTATCATGCCAGGAAACCCAAAGACAGGGTGGCCCAAGGCCTATGTAAAAAGGAACTATGAATTCATCCAAGAGCTACCTGCAAAGATATGTAGCACATAACTCAGAGCCGGCCCCGGCCTTTGTCTGACAGGTCAACAGTCTTCTTTGTCGTTTGCTGAGCTTCCTTTCCAGGCTCACAGGCTAGTTGAAAATCTGCAAGCAAAGACAAGAAAGGAAAATCAGTGTCAGTCTCTCACACCGGGGAAGAAATATGAAAGAGAGAAAGTGCCCGAGGCTCCAGCTCACAGACTCTCCTGCGGAGACTTTTCTGAGGACTGTTTCCAGTGGCTGATGGCCCCAACAGCACAGGACCCTCATCAGTGAGAGCACAGAACCTAACATTTGTCTCTGTTTTGTGACCATCACAAAAAGGCTTCCACATTCAGTTTGTTGTTTCTTTTTCATTCTTTTTTAAAATTGTTGTTCAAGCACAGTTGTCTCCATTTACCCCCACTACCCTCCTCCACCCCCCCAACCCCCTCCCACCCTCAATCCTACCCACCTTCGGCTGTGTCCATGGGTCCTATTGTTTCTTTCTCATTCTTCAGACCTGGCAGAAACCAAGAGGCAGGGAACCCCCACCCAGTGGGTGAGAGTGCCGAGGCCCCACTGTCCTGTCAGCCCAGCAAAGGGCTCCCCCCACCTCAAATAAAGCAGCCCCCATGGTTGGGAGGCCAGGGAGAGAGATGACATTTTCCCTCCCTCTTCTAGAGTGACAGCTTAGAGAGAAGCTCCCAAGGAATAAACTTCTTTCTCAGGAAGACAGAAAGGCCACACCTTTGAATGATTCCGTGAGCCCTGGCTGGGTTGCTCAGTTGGTTGGAGTGTTGTCACATACACCCCGAAAGTTTGTAGGTTCGATCCTTGGTCAGGGTACATATCTAGATTGTGGGTTGGATCTCTCAGGTCAGGGTGTCCACAGGAGGCAAACTATCAATGTTTCTCTTTTAGATCAATGTCTCTCTCTCTCTAAAATCAATAAAGATATCCTTGGGTGAGTATTTTTTTAATTATGCCGTGAATATTTATGGCTTTCCTCCCTGTTTCTGCCTCAGCCTTCTGCCCGTGGGTGCCTCTGAAATGCCTCTGAAGCAGCCTGTCTGTACTCTGAGATGGTGACCACGAGGTGGCGCTGTTGTCTAGTGAATGACAGGTAAATCTACATTAGCATCTGTGTGTATGCAGTGTGCTAAGGGCTTTCTTTATATAGGTTAAAGCATTTAATCCTCACAATGCCCCCAAGAAGGAGGAAGTGAGAAGCAGAGAGGCGAAGTTACTTACCCAAGGTCACACAGGATGTATCGGAGACAAAATTCAGATCCACACACCAGTGGCAGTTTTCTGTAGCAAAATCTCAGTGTCAAGTCACCAACTGTCCCTGCCTGGAGGGGCCGCAATTACCATTTTCTGAAGTTCTGTCTTCGCTATTTTTGAGGTGTTAAGGTGGCGTTTCTTTTATGAAATTACAGGACAATGGATAAGTGTACGTTGTTTGCCCTTCATCAAAATTTAAAATGTTTGCTTTCTCATGTCCTTCTCTCCCCCCCACACCCTGCCAATCTCTAGGCCCAAAAATCCGAGAGCCCGGACCATGTCTCCTGAAGCCAAACTACTGTGCTGAGCTAGGAGGAAATTTGAGATGCTGCCGATCCAACAAGAATTGTGTTGGTGACTTTACAACCCTAGTATTATTTTTCCTCACTCAAAAATAAATCTCAAATATATATTGAATACTCACCACTCATTATTTATTCTAATAACAAGTACTTATGGAACATCTGCTAGGGTTGGTGGTAGTGCTGGAAATACAAGGTCAAATGAAAGAGGCACAGTCAACCCTTAAGGAGCCCATAGAGAAGAAAACGAATCAGACACACGTGCACATGAATTAGTGAGCTGTGAAGGTCAAGTACTCCAGTGCAGCGAGGGAGGGTCTGTTACACGGACTGTGAGGTCAGGAGAGGCTTCCCCAAGGAGGCCACTCATGACCCAAGATCTAAGGGACAAACAGACCATCAGTTGATAGAAGCCAGGAGGAAGGAGCATGAGTAAAGGCCCTGTGGCCCAAGGGAGAGTGATGGGCATGAGGTCAGCAAGAAAGCTGGTGAGGCTGGAGCAGAGTGACTGAGAGAACTTGGCATAAGATTCAGGCAAGAAAGTAGACAGAGGCCAGGCTATGTCTTGTGCGGCTTTGCAGGGACTTGCTCTTCACTCCAGAGCTTTAGTCCCGATACTTTATGTAAGAACTGATTCTTTTTCATTCCAGATAGTCTTCTTCTTACCAGGACCTTGAATAATTTGGCTCCTGATTCAAATATTGGTCCTAGTCAATGGACCTGTCTAGTTGGTACTGTCCAGTGGACTGGTAGGTGGAGCACTGGGGAATTGCTAGAGGATTTTCAGCCACTAGCATTGGAGGAGAGGGTCCTGACATCATTTTTGTTTTGAAAGATCCTTGGCTGTAGTGTGGGTAAGAGGCCAGAGGGGCTTCAGCAGGTGGGGGAGATAGATGAGGAGTCTACTGGATGTGCTGGTTAGACAGTCACATAAACTAGGACCAGTAATTGAGCCAGACTTTGAATTCCCAACACTGTTGAAATAGGGATCATGAGGGCGTTTGCTAGCATGAGGCAAGGAATACACAGCTCCATCTGGGAGGGAGATGGATGGAAGGGAAGGCTTCCAGGTGGGAGAGATGCCCAAACTGAATATTAACAACAATGAAGGACTGGCCAGGATAAAAATTGGGAAGAAATAGAAGGAAGTCGTTTCAGCATGAGGGGTGATGGAGTCCTGTAGAATGTGTGTGGGTGCTTGGGGTGCAGTCTGCACCTGCCAGGGAACCACATTAAGGAGCTCTGTCTCTGCACAGCTCAGGTTGGGGAAGAGGAGGAGATTTAAGGCAGGAGAGGGCCAAGATCAGGTTTGTCAGTGCCTGTTCTGTGCCCCGTGTGGAGGCCCATTGCTGCCGGAGCTACAGCACATGGCACTCACAGGCTCATCATCTGCAGGTGCTGGCTTCTGCACGGTCCCGTTTCTCCGTTTACTTCTCGTTCTGCTCCAGACCTGCCCAACCGTGACCTACGCCGTGCCCCTCCGCTCAGTGCATGCTGGGTGGTCGGCGCCTGGTCCATGTCCTTCAGCCCACACAAAGGTCCGGGGTGGAGGGTACAACAAAATTACTCCCGAATTCCTTAGCAGTATCAAGGTATTAGCTTTAGTTCAGGAAGCATCCTGTCATTTGGTACCAGGAGGTCCTGGGCTTCGCGGCACTCGAAAACTGGAAAGGCCAACAGACCCGATCCCCTTGCACGCTTTAAGACTTCAAATATGTCTTTATGGGGAAACTGAGTCAAACCTGTCCTTCAAAAACTGATGAACCTTTCCCAGGAAACCTTTCCCTCAGATCTGTGGGCCCCTTGAAATATGGCCACCGTCAACTTACACGCAAAACTTTGAGAGCCTGTGTGCACCAATTTGAAAAAAAATCACTCTAAACCTTTTGCATAAAAACTCCACTGAAATTAATTTTACAAAGTGGCCACATTTCTTTTGTCTAGTAAGTATTTCATAGGGCTTTTCACTGTGTTTACATCTCTACAGAGCTAGTCCTATCCCCACCCCACGGCTCATTTCTGTCCCTGCGTTCCTTCCATGGCTTGCCCAGCGAGGTGCTATGGCTACAACAGCTGGTACCTGCCCCAAATCTCTGTCTTGACTTCTCTCACAGCACGCCTGTGACCACTCACTTCAAAACAGGACACATACCTCCTTCCCAAACACGATGGTTCCCTTCTACTATCCCCTTGTCTTGTTCCAAAAGTGTGTTTTTACAGAACTGCAATTAAAATTAATTGCATTTACATTTCCCGAACTACTAATCTTATTAGTGTAATTAGTATAAGACTAGTGTAATAAACGCAATCTTCACTGTAGTCTAGGTGAAGATATCACAACTTATGATTTCCTTAGTGTCGAACATTCAGGTCCTTCCCAGTTTTTCACTCCTGAGACCTAACGTTGCCCAGGACCTGTAGGCACACAGTGTCTTTTTTTTCTGGTATGTTGTTCGCTAGGTTCCCAAGAGCAAGATTATTGATATAATATGGTATGAAGTGACTAAAATGTGATTGATACATGATCTTGACCTTAAGAAAGGGGTAAATTAAACCATGAATGCAGCATTTGCTGACTGCTCATTCTGCGTTTACTGTGGAAAGTTCAGGTCATGGTTTTGAGCGTGTCCTTTCATTTGTGATCAGCTTCGGCTCCCAGAGGCACAGAGTATCAGCCTCCAAGACTGATGAGCACACGGCACAGAACTAACCACAAAGACATTGAAATGCTATGAGAATATCACGTATTCTAATGCCATTTGCAGCTTACAATACGTGTCTGTCTTTTAGCCTTATAAAAGACAAGTTTACTTTAAAAGGCATTTGCAAGCAAAATACTTATATTTTATTGAAAACTCAGAAGTTTCAGTACTTTAAGATTGTTCATATTATAAAAAAAAATAAGTTAAAAGAAGTGAAGTACAATGACATTTAGTTTTCATTCCAACTAACAAAATCACTTTACAAAACAAAAATCCACAGCTTAATTTCTTTATGGTATAAACATGTATTTTCCTATTTATTATCAGAATAACCGCTAATGGAATAATTTTCAGAGCAATCTTTCAACATATCTTTCTGTCCCCGGTTTAAATGGTACATTGGTACTATCTAATCCACATAATTACTGGTGTGTGTGAAGACGGGTGCACACGAACTAGCTAATTTTAAAAGTATCATCCCATTTATCATAGGGCAATATTTAGTATTTCTAATCATTTCTTAAGCATGTTTCCTTATCTCCCTGGTGGAAACCAATCACTCTGAGAAAGGCAGTCAGCCCCTTGAGCACCAGAGGTATAAACTAGATTGACCCTAATCTGTCAGAGTATTAACCATTCCATCAGCCATTCATGTCAGGAAGCATCTTGCTATACTTTTAAAATCAAAGTTCTTGTAATTTTCTTATGAAGGGGAAGTTAGTTGAGGCAGGAAGATAAAAATAGACTCACCTTTTTAATAACTCATTTTATATTATCAATGGTCTCTATTTTATCAAATTATTTTATCCACAACAGAAAAATATTCACTGAGCCACTGGTATTCAGTAATTTCTCTTATTATTTCCATGCTGTCTACTCTGCATCTTTTCCCTTTTAAAGAAGAGACTGAAATCAAGACCTACTGTGGGTACAGAGCATCACAGGTAACAAACGCACTATCCGGATGCTGTCCTCACTGACTTGCACCATGAACAGGTGCTACAGGTAAAGCTACGGTGAGACCTGTGCTCTGCTTCAGCCAGAAATTGTACCGACGCAGAACCTGAATATTTCAGCTTATGGTTTAGAGTACTGTGCAGCTAGAGAGCTTTTCTGTAACTATTATGAGACTACTGAATGAAACTAGGCCCTGTCAGGAAATTTACCACCTGCTCGTTGCGTAAGATGCTTACGAACTGTTAGGTGTGTCCTAGGTGGGAGGCAGAAACGTGTCAACAGGGGAGAACCCAGTGAGGACAGAATGAAAACATAATGGTCACTTGCTAATACAGCACTTCTTTCATTTGGTAACACCACGTGAATTGGTCTTCAGCCAAGAAAAAACCCTAGTTCTTATTTGTGGAGTAATGTCTAAAAACCAGTGTTTTGCTAAGTCAACTTTAAAACTGGTGAAACCATTTTAAGGGAATAGTCTGTTCTGACTTAGAACAGAGCTCCTCAGAGGGAAGTAAAGCTTTCTTTTCTCCCTCACCCCAGCGGTGGAAACAGCTCTCAGGCACCTGAGCAGCTTTCAGAGCAGAGGGGCCTTCCTGGGGCGGCAGGTGAAATGCTGAAGTCATTTTAGCTCTAATGTGTCCGAGCAGAGATACCAAACACAAATCTGGCAGGTGCAATCACTCTCCTTTTTCCAGGCCCTAATATAAGAGCAAAATCTGCTCTAATCAAAATATCATCTCCAAAAATCTTTAGAAAATGTTAGGATTCATGAAAACTAAATTTTCAGAGGAAAAATACTGCCCATTAAATTTTTCTGAAATAAAACTCATCACCAAAATCCTTAAATTAGTGCATTTATAGTTCACATCTAAATAGGGTTTCCCGCTAAGAACTAAAACTACTCTCTCCCTCTCAGTCCCTCCTCTTTTCTGCATTTCAGTTTTCCTCCTGTGCCCAGAGCACCGAGAATTTAGTGACTTCCAAGCGCTGGGTGCCAGTGCAGCCCTCGCTGCGTAGGAAAGCCTAGTTAATGGTGTGTTCATCACTTACTCCTGCTGAATTTAAATTTTATCTATTGATATGATAAACTAATAAAAATTTTATTGAATTAGATGAATTCATTAGGAAAATAGGTAAACATATAAAAGTAAAATTTCACGTACAGACTAGGAATATCACTTAAAGACAGCTCACAAACTCTTAATAGCGCTTTCTATTAAAGAACAGTTTTTGATCATTTTATACCACCAAACATCTTTTTCACGCCTCCTTGTTGTACTTGAAGGAGCCCGAGGCACCCGTGCCCTTGGTCAGCACCAGGGGCACTTGGTCACCAGATTGAGGTCCAGCTGGATTTGGCTGTTCTTGTCCATGCCCTGGCCGGTGGCGGCCACCAGAGCCTTCTTGAGCACAGACTGTGACAGGCCACTGTGCTCCTTGGAGGTGGCCACGGCCTTGGTGATGAGCTGAGACAGCCTACAGGCTTTTTGGCCCTTCTTCTTCTTCACTGGGGCCTTCTCCTGGGCGGTGGGGGTGGGGGGTGGCGTGCACAGTGATGAAGTGGCACTTGGGAGCAAGCAGCAAAGCACCAAAATACCATTCAACATTTTTTAAAATGCCTTATTCTTAGATTCAAAATTATATTAGTTTCAATGATGGTTACTTTTCCTGTTAACTTCTTTCATACTTTCTCAACATGACTGAAGGCTCAACATAGTAGATTGGAAATAAAAGTATCCCAAACAAGTATTGGTAATAATCAGTGTGAATGCTTTAAAAAGGTTTTCATTCCTATGAATTTACGTCCAAAATAAAGCTTCTGACATTTCTTTAGAATTTTGATGCTTCATTCATGATGTAAGCAAAAAATACTTGACTAAGTTAACATTTACATATAAAAATAAAGAATATGTACACTGCAGTGATCTTACTGTTTTGTACTATTACAGATTGGAGCACCACCAGCCTGATTAAAAAGTTCAACATGTTTTAAAGTATGAATTTGTTTTGGCTAATAACTGGGTATAAAGAATATGGGACAGAAGTATGTCTCTGGAAGAAGCTGACGGTATCTCAATATTCAGTAGACAAAAGTTTAACACTGTCTTTTCTTCCTAAGCACGGATCTCGGTGAGGTCTGCTCTGCCCATTGGGATCAGTAACAGGGGAACCCGCGGCACCCCTGTGTTTTGTCAGCTATCTATGTCCTGCCACTGAGGACGGTTCCTGCAAAACCTAGAAAGAGATGAAACAGTAAGAACTCCAACACAGAGGAGAGCTGGGCACGTTCTACCAGCCAGCAGTTAAACCAGCATGTGGTTCCCCCCTCATTACAGAGATCACTCCCCCCTCCCATCCCCTGGTGAGTGCACACTGCCCCGCAGTGCGGCCAGGTGGGGAGGGTTCTGACTTTCTGCTCGGGTCACATGCGCCACTCAAAGATCACAGCCTTCAGAGCAGTCAAAATACAAAGGGACTCAACACTAAAGCTGAAATGAACATACTTTATTCTTTTCCTAGATGTGATGTGAAAAACATTTTTAAAAACCCTGGACTGGAAATCAAAAGATCACTTCTCTTGATCTCAAGGCTGAGTGATCTTGCACAGGCCCCTTGGCTTTCAGTATGAAGATCAACTATCATTACAGAATAGTATAAAAATTATTCCAATTTTATGGATTTCTGATGCTAACATGATAAATGAGAGTTTTCTATGCTTCCTGGGGCTAAGTATTTGGCTCTCTAATAAAAGCATAATCAAGATATTTTTACATTATAAATAAAATATGCTTTGACATTCACTAGGATGGTCCAAGTGAATTAAGAATTCACTAAGAACTAAAGTTAGGATTTTAATTCTCTTATTAGTGAAATCCTGCTCTCTCCTCAGATGGGGGCAAAATAGTAGCATGGGGACAAAGGCTTTCTGTGAAACTATTTCTGACTGAATAAAAAATAGAAGCCATTTTACTCTTTAATTATTTAAGATTTTAATTTGTTCAATTTTTCAAAACTAAATTAAGAAACACTTATTGCTAAAACCACGAAGCTGCCAAAGTCTACCACTGCTAGTAAAGAATTACAATTTACTGCCAAAATATCCATTTGTGGCAAAAGAAAACAGAGTCTGAATTTATATTTAAGTCTATGGCAATGTATTCTACCAGTCCTTATTTCAGTCATTTTCAGAATTGAGACAAAAGTAGGAGACTCATAATTCCTCATCAACTATTTCAAACCGGATGTAAAGCACGTTGCATTCAAATTCAGAGAGGGGCTTTGTGAAGTACTGGACATAACTTTGGAAGTCGGGTAGATAATTTCTTCGACGGTGACGTAGGTCCCCAGCAAGAAGCCAGCGACCCCGGTGAAGGCTATGGAAATGTTTTTCAGGACCATCCACACGCTACAGTGGTCCCTGGAGAGCGTGAGGACCTGCACCAGCGGCGGCAGGATCAGCGCCAGCGTGCTGCTGCTCACGGCGCCCACGAAGGAAATCACGAGGTCCAGGCGAGGGATCAGAATGGCCCCCGCACCTGGAAGGTGAAAAGACACGTTTCTATTTAAGTACTTGATACTTACATCAACACTAAATACAGACATTTTCAACACTTAAAGTTAATTGGTACAAGTAGGCATCACTAAACTGCTGCTTGTGGGAGAATCTGTCCTATGTTGTGAGCTAAAAATGAAGGCAAAGAAACGAGACAGTGACCTTTCTTGGGCTTTGATCTGTCAATAATTTTATAAAAAATATTTTAATTAAAAAAATTAATATAGTTTATTGATTATGCTATTACAGTTGTCCCATTTCCCCCCTTCACTCCCCTCCACTCTGCAAACCCACTCCCACCCACATTCCCCCACTTTAGTTCATGTCCATGTGTCATAAGTTCTTTGGCTTTTATATTTCCCATTCTATTCTTACCCTCCCCCTGTCTATTTTCTACCTACCACCTATGCTACTTATTCTCTGTACTGTTTCCCCCTCTTCTCCTCCCACTCCCCTATTGATAACCCTCCTTGTGTTCTCCATTTCTGTGGTTCTGTTCCTGTTCTAATTGTTTGCTTAGTTTGTTTCTCTTTTTGTTTTAGGTGTGGTTGTTAATAATTGTGAGTTTGCTGTCATTTTACTGTACATGCTTTTTATCAGATAAGTCCCTTTAACATTTCCTATAACAACGGCTTGGTGATGATCAACTCCCTTAATCTGACCTTATTTGAGAAGCACTTTATCTGCCCTTCCAATCTAAATGAAAGCTTTGCTGGGTAGAGTAATCTTGGATGTAGGTCCTTGCCTTTCATGAGTTGGAATACTTCTTTCCAGCCCCTTCTTGCCTGTAAGGTTTTTTTTGAGAAATCAGCTGACAGTCTGATGGGTAAGAGGAGTCTCTTTATCTCTTGCTGCTTCTAGAAATTCTCCTTCATTTTAATCTTGGCTAATGTAATTATGATGTGCCTTGGTGTGTTCCTCCTTGGATCCAACTTCTTTGGGACTCTCTGAGCTTCCTGGATTTCCTGGAAGTCTATTTCCTTTGGCAGATTGGAGAAGTTCTCTTTTATTATTTGTTCAAATACCTTTTCCACTTGTTGCTCTTCCTCTTCCCTTTCTGGTACCCCTATAATTCAGATGTTGGAATGTTTAAAGATGTCCTGGAAGTTCCTAAGTCTCTCCTCACTTTTTTGAATTCTTGTTTCTTCATTCTTTTCTGATTGGATATTTTTCTTCCTTCTGGTCCACACCACTGATCTGAGTCCCAGTTTCCTTACCATCACTATTGATTCCCTGTACATTTTCCTTTATTTCACTTAGCACAGCCTTCATTTTTTCATCTAATTTGTGACCAAATTCAACCAATTCTGTGAGCATCCTGGATACCAGTGTTTTGAACTATGCATCTGATAGGTTGGCTATCTCTTCATCGCTTAGTTGTATTTTTCCTGGAGCTTTAATCTGTTTTGTTTGGGCCATGTTTTTTTGTCTTGACCCGCCTGTTATGTAGTGAGGGGCAGAGCCTTAGGTGTTCACCAGGGCAGGGCAACCCAGTCCCTGGCTTGTGAGGCTGTATATGGTGGATGGGTACGAGAGGGAACAATGGAGCTTGCTCCGCTCTCTGCTGGATTTCAGTCACTTTCCCCACTTCCCCCAAGCAAACTGGGCCCTTCAGGTGCTGATTCCTTCGGGCTTGTATACGTCCAGCGACCCTGTGGGTCTCTCCAACAAACTCTCCTGTGAGGCTGGGAGTCTCTCCTGGCACCTCAACTCCCATAGGTGTTTTCAATTGGTGTTTTGAGACTTGATTTCCCCACGCTGGGACCCTGGGTTATGTGGTCTGTCTCACTCTCCAGTTTCGCCTGGTTTATCTGCATGTGAACATGGGACCATCTGGTCCACCAGCTGCCCTGTGCACTGTGCCCCTCCACAATCCGCCACCTTGCTGGGTCCGCCTGCTGCCCTCATGTGCCCGGGGTCTGCGAGCCGCCACTTTGCTACAAGTCCTCTCCACCCGGCGACCTAACTCTGCCCCTCCTACTGCTCTGGATGAATATTTCTTCTTTAACTCCTTGGTTGTTGGATTTCCATACAGTTCAATTTTCTGACAGTACTGGTTGTTTTTTTGTTTCCAAATTGTTGTTGTCCTTATTTTGGTTGTGCGAGGAGGCACATGTGTGTACCTATGCCTCCATCTTGGCCAGAAGTCCAAAAATCTTTTAATTTTTTGCTGTGAGACTCTTGGCAAAGAAGTTTGGATAATTTATTTCCAAAGCATTTCCATCACTCTGCCATTCAGTTCAGGGTAGATGAGAAGTGATATGAATAAATCATGAGAGAAATGAGAGAGAGAAGGGGGAGCTACTCCTTACACCAGAATTTTAATTAACCTAATAGAAGGGACAACAGAAATATAAAATCATTATTAAGCAAACACCACAGTAATTATTGCTACAGGGAAAGTCACTAAAGAAAGCTAAAAATTACTGGGTAAACACTGTGAGAACAGGATGTTTCCAAAGTCTCAAAGCCCCCCCCCCAAAGACAGTTAATTTTAAAGGGGAAAAGGGCTTCTTTACAGTGGAGAAATCTCTCAAATGCCCTCAATCAAGCGATCAAAGTTAACGTCACCACTCATAAGACATGATGATACCTGTCACGTGACACATTAAGAAGTACAAGGTGTCCTCTGTGGAATTCTTGTTAAAAATGCTTCACTTCAACCTAATGAAAAGAAAGCATCATATAAATCTAAACTGATAGAAATTCCACAAGACCACTGACACTTCAAAAGTGTCAAGGTGAAGAAAGACAAGGAAGAAAACCATCCAGACTAGAGGAAACTAAGTAGATATGACAACAAAATCAAGTGGGATGTTGCATTGGTTCCTAGATCAAAAAAGGGTATTAGTGAGAAAACTGGCAAACTAAGAATAAGGTCTATAGATTAGTTAGTGTTGTATCAACATTAATTTCCTGGCTTTAATCATTGTAGGAGGTGGGTCCAAGATGGCAGTGAAAGAGGCCATGTGGCTCGGCCCCTCTCGTGAACAGCTTCTATAAAACAGAGAGAGAGAGAGAGAGAGAGACCGACCAAGCACACAGAGAAGGTTAAGGATCTGTGGGAGTCCACCAGAAATCTGAGGAAACCCATCAGGAATGGAGGAGCTGGTGACACCACTGCTTACACGCCCCACCCCCCACATTTGGATGGCCCAACAGGAGCCCCACCGGGTGCTTTGCCTGCCCGGTGGGGCTGCACTAGCCCACCCCGAGCTGTGTTGCCTAGCACTAGCTCCAGCAGAAAACAAGAGTGAGCCACCGTAGGTGAGCACAGGGCCCCCCACCTCTGGAGCTATAATCAGCAGCCCCAACAGGATGCTGAGGCTCCCTCTCACCAGGCCACTGCTACACATGCCCCCTGGGATGCCCCCCCCCCCCCAAAAAAAACCAGAAACACTAGGAGCCCTAGCTCATGGATGCTGGGCAACTCTGCCGACCTTGTGCAGGAACTGGGTGCTGCTATGGTCATGCCCACAGGGCGGTCTAGCTCTGGCCAGACTCTCACGGCAGTCAGTGAGAACAACGGGGTACACAGCAGAAAGTCTCCTGCCACCTCCAGTCAGGGGGAGAGGGCCAATGCACTTCAGGCTTACACCAGGCTCCCAGCTCAGACCAGCAGCAGCGCAGCGAGACAACAGGGCCGTGGCAGGCCCCCCACCAGGCTGCCCCACCTCGATCCCAAGCAGAATCAGCAGGGCTCCACAGCCCAGCCTACAGTGCTGCTCCACCTGGCACAGCAGGAAAGCCCACACACACCAGGCTAGACCAACTTCTGGCCAAGCAACATTTCTATTAGTGATCCGAGCATCAGAGTGGTGGAAAGCACCCAGCGGAAACAGAAAAATAAAACTGGGAATTCCTGGGGTCTCTGGCACAGCATTTAGGACTCCAACACCTACACTGAAGGTCTTCCAGAAAGAGGAGAGAAAGAGAGGCAGCAAGTATATTTCAAGCAATAATGGCTGAAAACTTTCCTAATCTGGGAAAGGAAAGGGCCAGGAAGGACAGAGAGTTCCAGACAAGATGAACCCAAAGAAATCCACACCAAGTTATAATGTAATTAAAATGGCAAAACTTAAGGACACAGAGGCAATCCTACAGGCAGCAAGAAAGAAACAAGAAGTCACATACAAGGGAAACCCCGTGAGGCTATACTGGCTGATTTCTCAGCAGCAATGTTACAGGCGAGAAGAGAATGACAAGAAATAATTAAAGGGCTGAAGACAAGGAATCTGCAGTGAAGAGCACGACCCTGCAGGGTCATCATTCAGAATCCAAGGAGAGAGAGCTTCCCAGACAAGCAGAATGTAAAGGAGTTCACCGCGACTAAATTGGCTTTACAAGAACTACGAAGTTCTTGTAATGAACTTTTGCGTAATGAAGGGGTCTTCTTTACACAGAAAGGACTATATAACCTGAAAGAAGAAAATAAAGGAAAGAACAAAAGTCACTGGTGAAGGCAGATATATAATAAGCACAGTGAAACCGTCACTTAAAGAGCTAAAAGGTTAAAAGACAAAATAGCAAAATGAACTAAAAGAAGTAGGGAATACACAAAACAAAAAGATATAAAATATGACATTAATAACAAAGTGTGTAGGGGGAATAAAAATGTATTGCTTTTAGAATGCATTTGAACTTACACGTGATCAATCTTAAAATAGACTGCTATAAGTACAGTTGAATATATGGTAACCTATACCAAAAACCTACAAAAAATACACCAAAAATGAAGAGAAACAAATGCAGACAAAATGCTAAAGAAAACCAGCATTACCAAAAGGAAAAAGATCGAGAGAAGTAGAAAAGAACAAAAAAACAACAAATACAACCAAATGGCAATAAGCAAATACCTATCAATAACTACTTTAAATGTAAATGGACTCAATGTTCCCATCAAAAGGCACAGCAGAGTGGCAGGATGGGTTAAAAAAAGACCCATCTGTCCGCTGCCTGTAAGCGATTCACTTCACATCAAAAGGCACACTCAGTGTGAAGGGACAAAAAGATACTCCATGCAAATGAAAATGAAAGAAAGCTGGGGGAGCAGTACTCTATTAGAAAAAAACAGACTCTGAAACAAAGATCTAGAAAGAGAGAAAGAAGTATATACTACATGATGACAAAGGGGTCTAAGAAGAGTGTACAACAATTGTAAATATTTACATACACAACTTAGGAGCACTCAAGTGCTCCTTTGTCATCTAAAACAAATACTAATGACCATAAAGCCAGGAATTAACAGTAATAAAATAATAGCTGGGGACTTTAATATACCACTTACCTTAATGGATAGATTGTCCAGACACAAAATTAAAAGGGAATAAAGGTTTTAACTATCACATTAGACTAAGTGACTTAACAGACATTTTTTGAACACTTCATCCCCAAACTGCAGAAGACACATTTTTCTCCAGGGCACATAAAACATCTTGCAGGACAGACCACATACTATGCCACAACACAAACCTCAATAAATTCGAGAAGACCAAAATCACATCAAGCATCTTTTCTGACCAAAACAGTATAATGCTAGAAATCAAATACAGAAAGAAAAACTGGATAAAACACAAATACATGGAGATTAAATAACATGACAATAAACAATTAACAGGTCAAAGAGAAGATCAAAGAGGAAATCAAAAACTACGTGGAGACAAAATGAAAACACAGCTTTCTAAAATTTATGGAATATAGCAAAAGCAATTTTAAAAGGGAAGTTCACAGCTCTGCAGGCCTACCTCAAGAAACAGGAAAATCCCCAAATAAATAGTCTACCTTCATAGCTAAAGGAACTAAAAAAAGAAAACTCAAAGTAATTAAAAAATAACATAAATCAGAGCAGAAATAAATGAAACACAGACCAAAAAATACAGAAAAGACCAATGAAACTTGGAGCTAGTTCTTTGAAAGGGTAACTAAATTGACAAATCTCTAGCCAGACTTATCCAAGAAAAAAAGAGAGGAAGCCCAAATAAAATCAGCAATGAAAGAGAATGCTAACAGACAACTCAGAGATACAAAGGATTATTAAAGAATACTATGAACAATTATATGTGAACAAATTGTACAGTCTAGAAGAAATGGATAAATTTCTAGAAACACACAAACTTCCAAGACTACACCAGGGAGAGCAGAAAATAGGAGCAGACCAATTACTAGCAATGAAATTGAAGTCGTAATTTAAAAACAAACCTCCCAACGAACAAGAGCCCAGGACAGACAGCCTCACAGGTGAACTCTATCAAACACTTAAAGAATAATCAATACCTGTCCTTCCCAAACTATTCAAAAAATTAAAGAGGAAGAACTGCTTCCAAACTCATTCTATGAGGCAGCTTTACCATGACACCAAAATCAGACGAAGAGCTACAAAGAGGAGCTCGAAGATGGCATGCAGCTTCGCTGAAAACACCAGCAAGCAGGGCGGGCCTGAGTGTGAGCCGTTGGGTCAGTGGGACTCCAAAACCCACACTGTCCACTCCACCAAACTCACGGTCCCTTTCATGAGTCTCCTGTATTAATGCCTGTGGAGGCATTTTCTAATGTGCAATCTTAGTAACACATTATATACAAGGTCTGTCCAGAAAGTATCTGGTCATGTAATATGAAGAACAGAGACATTTACTGAAGAAGATACAAGAAACACTGTACATAGGGCAATGATGCCTCAGAACCCTTCAGAGTAGGCACCTTGAAACCTCAGTTTCCCAGTGTCTCTTCCACTGTTCAAAACACTGCAAGATCCTTTGTTGGAATCACCATCAGCTGCCCCATTGTATTTTTCTGAATCTCACTGACGGTCTGACATCTCTTCCCTTTAAAGGTGATTTTACTTTTGGGAAAAGCCAGAAGTCACAGGGTACCAAATCTGGGCTGTAGCAGGGCTGAGTCACCTGGGTGATTTGATGTTTCAAGAAAAAACTCTGTAGGAGATGTGACACACAAGCTGGTGCACTGTCGTGATGAAGCTGCCAGTCACCAGTTGTCCACAGCTGCGGCCACTTTCATCGTACTGCAGCTCTCAACCAACAAAGAACACTGAGGCAGTTCTTATTAACTGTTTGGGCTGGAGGGGCATGGGCACAATGGACAACACCTTCCCAGTCAAAAAACACACTTAACATGGTCTTGATCTTGCTGCAATTTTGCTGTACTTTATGCCGACCATCTTCAGGCACGAAGAACCAGGTGACTTCCACTGGGACGATTGGGTCTTGTTTCCAGATCACAGCTGTAGACCCATGATTCATCTCCAGTTGTGACCTCCTTGAGGAAATCTGGTTCACTGGTAGCAGTTTGAACAATGTCATTAGCAACTACAGCATGATGTTCCTTCTGCTCTGGTAGCAGAAGCCAAGGAATAAATTTTACCACATGTTTCATGCCACGATCCTGTGTCAAAATCTCAGATACCACAGATTTTGGAACCCCCAGATCAGCTTCAAGTTCTCATACTGTCAGTCACTGATCTTTGTTGATTGCAACCCATTCTCGGGTGTTCTGCCTGTTGCAGGCCTACCAGAATGTCGATCACTTTTAACAGGTTCTCAGCCATCTTTGAAACATTTGTACCACACTTTTATTTGTGCTGCACTCATTGCATCATCCCTGAAAGCCTTCTGAATCATCTCAGTAGTTTCCGCGGAGGAATGCTCAAGCTTAATGCAAAATTTCATGCAGATTTTTTGCTCTACTCACTCAGTCAATTTTAATGTGACAACCACACAGTCCATGTGCTCACTCAACAGCATCTACTGCCCCCACTGACTAGTACAGTGAAGTCATCATTGTTCACACACATTGCATTCCAGTCCACCCTCCTTGGCTGCCAGGTTACATCAATGTCACGCAAACCATTCTGATTATATTAACAATGGCTGTATTTTTTTCTGGACAGACCTTCATACACTCCAAATAATATGTAAAATAAGCCGCTGAAATTATTCAAGACAAAAAAACCCCATTACCAAAGGTACTCATGGAGAGTTAAACTGAAATACACAAAAGTTAACAGAAAAAAAAACCCAAGGAAAACCAGAACCAAAGTAAAATGTGTATCAACCATATAAGGGGTCCCTTATGCATCCAATTTAAATATACTTAATTCTGTAACATAACAATTATCACACTCAAGTACACCATATCACATTTTAGGTAAAAATGTTCAAGTTAAAACTATAAATTATCACACCCATATTATTAGCCTACCAACTACACTCAAGCAGGAATTACTTCTGCCAGAGTCTATTTTAACCATCACTGATTTCATTTCAAAATAATACTTCAATTAGTTCTCTTAAGTGTGATAGTATCCGGTTGCATTTTTCTTATATAGTAGCAGAATAATAAAATCTTAAATCAACACATATCCTAGCTAGGTGAATAAAATTGTTCAAAAATATTTTAAAATATACTTAAAGTTGCCTCAGTATCCAAAATTCAATACTAAAAAGTTATTATAATATAAATACACAGTGATACTCACAAGTAATAATAACCAAGATGGACCTTATCAGAAATTCACAGGTTTGCTTCCATTTCGCCTGAACTTTGGATGTGACCACAGGAATGATGATCTCCGCTGGGACGTAGAACTGAATGGAATACGTCACAAAGATGCCGAAAGAATACAGAATTTTCACTGATTGATATAACCTGTGCAAAAATTTCAAAATGTAGCCATTCTGCTTTTTCCAGCTTTATTGAGGTACAAGTTAAAAATAAAACCATAACCTATTTAAAGTTTATAATGTAATCATCTACAATGCACAACACCATGCAGTATTTGTCTTTCTCTGTCTGGCTCATTTCACTCAGCATTATGCCTTTACATTGTTATCTTAATATGAATCTAGCTTTCTTCCTTAATGATGGACAAGAAATCCAACACAAGCTAAAACCAGTATATTACTAATTAAATGCTTATTTACATAAAAAAGCCAGCTGACTTCTCAATCTGCAGACAATAGATGGGACAATTCACTTTGATAAGCCCAGAAAGCAGAGGCTGCAATGATCTGTGGAACACTGTTGGAAAGACTTCATTTGAGGCCCAGCCAACGTTCTGAAGGTTAGGCTGAGATCCAAAAGAGCTAATGTTCTTTTCAACTTTCTTTTTAAAACCTGAGCACACTGTATATCTTTCATATCTCACTCACTTATAAAGAAAAACTTCACACAGTTCTCCTTGCTTAAAAGAAGTCAGTAGGTATAGCACTGGTTGCAGAAATGTTGTCATTCCTATGTCTACAAAGTGGGCATCTAAATGGTTTCAATTTGCAAACTTCCCTAGATTGTACAGAAATTGAACCTGTTTTAAAGCTGCATTAATAAGGGAAATAAACCTGGGTTAGGTGGTTGTTTTGTCCAAGTAAACTAATCTTTTTTTGATGCCCAGTACTTCAAAAGAGTGCAGCAATTTTCAGTTGTACAGATATCTTTAGATTTCTACATTGTAGAGAGCCTCCGATCAAAACTCAGTGTGCAGGTCTTAATAAAGACTTTGGACACATTATAAATGTACCCTATATACTGTTCATTTAGCAGAATACGTTTCTAATATCAAAGGGAATAATAAGACACCACATTATTTAATTTATTTATAATGCGCCCTGTGCTCTGAAAGGATCGGGGTACACACAGTATGAAAGCTGCCCAGTAAAACAGTGGGGGACATAAGGGACAGCCCAGCAAGGATAATGTGGACACTTTTGTTAAAGTGTCCATATTAAAAGAATCCCCGTTTTACTTTTCTACTTTAGTCACTTCTGAAATGTCCTACAATTTTTAACCATTTTTCAAAATCTCAAAGGATCTGTAAAATCAGAGGTGGTTTCCTCTAAAGATTATAAAAAATATTCTAGACTATCCAAGTAAAGAAATCAGTAAAAAATTTGTGTGTTTAAACTATAAAAACAAGAATTGACCTGTATCATCAAATACTGGCAGACTTATATCTATAAAACATGCAAACCAGGATTCAGAAACTTGAATCTACCTACCATACATCCTGAGGAAGATTCAGGGTTATGCTGCCTTTGATTTCATCCTGAAAACACATGTACCCTAAGGTAGCTAATGTCACATACAAAGTTGTAACGATCCCCATGCCAATATTCAGTGCTTGGGGAAAGCGTTTCGATTCCTTCATTTGATTTTCAAGTGGAAGGACCTAAGAAGAGAATGCAAATAATACAAACAATTTAAAACAATCTCGTTCTGGTCTTATATATGCACAAATTAGTCTTTCTATAGTTTATAAGCAAATCTTTTTCTTTTTAAACACTTAAAATTGTTGAGCATTTTCTACATGTTATACACATATTTTTTACACTACAAATTTTTTAATTCTTAAAAAATTAAAATCAGCTCTTAGCAAGCAAATCTGTTTTTTTTTTTAAGTGAATTTGGACAGTTTCCCCGTTGTTAACATTTTACACAACCAAAGTACATTTGTTACAATTAATAACCAACACTGGTACATTATGATTAAATTAAGCTCCAAACTCCGTCTGGATTTCCCTAGTTTTTCCACTAATGTCCTTTTTCCCATCAGGAATTCCACGGTGCATTTTGGCATCTCCTTTGTCTCCTCTAGTCTGTGAGGAGACCAGACCTCCATCTTTCCTTATTCTTCACCACCTCAACAGTTCTCAGGTCCTGGCTAGGTATTAGCATAATGTCCCTTTATTCGGGTTTATCTGATGTTCTTCTCATGACTACGCTGGGATGATAGGTTTTAGGAAAGGGTACCACAGAAACGAAGCGCCCTTCTCATCACACCTGTAATCAGTGCCATTTATCACGGGTGACAGTAATTTCCATCACCTGGATGAGGCAGGTGTTGGCCAGGTTTCTCTGCTTTTAAAGTTCTTTTCTTCCCTTCATCCTACTCTGTTCTTAGGAAGTCAGCCCACACTCTGGGGACATGGGGGGATTAAACTACTCCCCCGGAGGTGGATTTACACAAATTATTTAGAAATCCCCCTTACTGGGTTAAATTATGTACCTCTTTAATCATTTATTCACATTAGTATGGGTTCATTTTTTTTTTACTCATACTTTGAGTACAAGTCCAAAACCCTGCTATTTATTTTGTTACTCAGATTGTTCCAGCTTTGGTTGTTCTATCAGGTTGGCTCCGGAGTCCCTTTGACCTGACTCCCTTCTTTTGTTTTTTGAGCACTTCTATACGTTCTGGCACTACAAGATGCTCCAGACTCATCTTGAATTTCCTTGCTTCAGCACAGAACCAGCCATTTCTCCAGAGAACTTTGGTTCTTTTGTTGGCAATGGTATTTAGAAATCAAGGTCTGGGTGCTCAGTGTGCTTGTTGCTACCAGGGTTCCGCTGACTTTAGGGCCTCTCGGCAGACAGCGCTAGAAAACAAATGTATGTATATGTAGTACCCATGTGTACACAGCTCTGTAACTGCTTCTGTATCTATCCACCTGTATCTATCGTCTGTTAGTGAGATGAATAAATCATTTTCACTATGTAAAAAAGTAAAGGAAAAGAAAAAAGACTAACTGAAAAGTTAGGCAAATCTTCAGAGATTCTGGCTATATGATTTGACCATACTGTAAATATTAACTGGTTAATAAAAAGAGAGAACAGAGAACAAGTTGGATACTCTGGGGATAATCCAGACCTGAAATAAGGGGCCATGGTCAAGAATGGCACCAGTGAAGCCACAAAAGGGGAAAGGGGAGGAAATGAACACTTACACAGGCTCCCGCTGTGTCCAGCAGCATTGCTGGTGCTTTACACATAATCTCATTTATGGAACAGATTGGGGGAAACAGGAAAGAAGAATCGACATGCCTTAATTACTGACTGGAATGAGAAAACCAGTGACAGTGAAAAGAATTACTCCAATGTTTCAACCTTAAGCAAATAAAAAATGGGAAGAAGTAGAGAAGTGAGGAAGTAAAGCTGGTTTTGCATAAGAAAGTATGTGTCAGACTTCGGAGCTGTTGAATTGGAGACATCAGAGAAACAACACTAAACTGGAAATGTCCAGCCACTCACTAAAGCTTAGTAGGAAAAGACAGAAATGAACATCTGAATGAAATATGCCTGAAACCGGGACAAATGGAGCTGTAAGAACTTGTGAGAATTCTCTAACAGAGAGAATTCAGAGTAAAAGGGTAGAAAATTGTTTTTTAGATATATTTTTGTCATGGTTCATATAAGTAGATGTTTATAAGTGGTTTTGTTCTCATAACAAATGGTCAGGCTATGAAACAAGCTATGGAGAAGACAGCAATGTCTTATTTTTCAAAAATCTGCACATTCCAGGCTTTAAAATAACTGGAAGCATCTTGAATGAAAATATAGTTAAACCTTGGTTCCCGAGGTTCCATCTTGGTTCTTGAACACTTTAGTTCTCAACTAAGTTGTCACAGGAAAAATCTCTCAGTTGTCCTACAAAAACTTGAGGTCTCGATTCTCTACCCAACATCCCCTTCATGCTGACACCTATATGATCAGTCACTTGTCTCTCAGGAGACAAAGGAGATTTGGTTTCCAAACAAATTGCTTCTCGAACAGTTTTCCAGAAAATTAAGTTTAAGAGCCAACGTTCCACAGAATTTTAACACCTTAAAATTCTCAAGATGCTGTATGTCTTGGTATTAGCTTTACGATAACACTATTTTTCAAAACAAATGATATGCACAAATCTAAAGGGAAATATATATTTAACTCTTCTTAAGAAATAGTAACATCGTAACACTTTTAATTCACTTCAAATCATCTAGTTTATACAATATGAAGTTTGGGAATTGTCTGGATATTACCCAGGCTTGGCAGAGTAGATGGAATATAGATAAAACATTGGCTGTGAGTTCATGGTTATTGAAGCTAGGTGATGCTTACACAAAAGTTCATCAAAATATTTTCTAAATTTTGTGTTTTGAAATTTTCCACAATAAAACGTTAAAAATCACCTAACGTAATGTCCTTCTGTTGCACATTAAGATAAAGAGAATTAGAAAGTTTAAGTGATTTGTCTAAACTAAACCCAGTTATTGGAAGAACTAAAGTGCACTTCAGGTCTCTCATACCAAAATGCAAACGATATTCCAGAAATAAAGTCAATAGAAACAAAAAAGGAAAACACACACTTTTAATGTAGCTTAACTACACAAATCTTTGTTTTGACTTAAGATTTTAAAAAATAATAAAAGCTAAATCCTTACCACTCCTATGCCTTCAAAAGCAAACACAGCAGTACCAAAAAAAAGTGGGTACTTTTTCCAACCAGCCACTACTGGAAGGTTGTGGGGATCTGGCATATTCTGGAGAAAGAAAGAAAAAAGTAAGGCAAGTTACATCTGTACTTATTTTAAAGAATTTTAAATGAAAAAGCGAAACCATACACTTCTGAGCTTCACAACCGCAAGTATGTATTATAAAAAGAAATAATTCTTTCAACAAATGCTTTAAGCATCCTACGTTAAATGTAGCCAAGCTGTTAGGATTTCATGGCCAAAAGCAGTTGGTTTCCTCATGCCCACACATTCCATCTGAGCTAAATGATCCTCATTACCTGTTTCCACCTTCAAGTCCCAGGCTGTTCACACTGGGTATGGCTCCTGCCACAACAGGAAACACATAAGCATAATCAAGGGCCGAGATGAGAGCCATTTAATCAGTTATTAACCACTGGAGATGGTGTTCAGCAAAATTCATTCTCCACGTTGTATTTTCATTGCTTTCAGTCCCTGTGATACCTGGTTCCTGACTTTGACTTTCTACCTCACGACTCTGTGCTGCTCCCTAGTACAGGTCTCCCCATTTTCAGTGTTTCAGTGACAGTGTTTTTTGACCTGACAGTTGGCATTTAACCTTATCACTTGTGCATATGCCGAGTCTGGCTTCGATTACTCACAGCCTTGTTCCAACTCTTGCTGCCTGGAAACTCACATGAACTGCACTTCTTGTACTAGATCTCTGGCTCCACGATGGCCACTTCTTCCAACTACTCCCAGTCTGGTCCCTACTCTCCTTGTCATCCTGTGTTCTCTGCCTTCTCTGATTGAAAGTGGAATTCAAGGCCAAGTTAAGAGGATGAACTAAGAACCTAATGTGAAAACACACAGATAATTTGGGAAAGAGAGAGGTCTAGAACAACGGAAACTTAGGCAGAAGTGTGTGACTAATGACGACACATGACTAAAAACATAAGCTAGGGTCAGAATAAAAAGGGTATTAGAGTGTTTGGATCATGTGATAACACTAAACTGTTATTCAAGGCTCACACCGTTTCCTCCATTTAAGGAACCTCCTTTTGCTCCACTAATTCTTACTTCTGCACCCAATGGACTGTGAACTCCAGAAAGCCTTGAGATATTCCTACCTGTCCATGTCCACTCTTACATGCTATAAGAAAGAATCTACAAGTTCTGGAATTCAGAGATGGGGGAAGAAATGAGACATACATACATCCTAAGAGTCTGTAAAGAATAGTTACTGGAGATTTTAGAACAACTACTTCAGCAGCAATACATAAGATGCACTGGATCAGGGATGATTAGAACAGGGGATCTCAACCTGTTTTGAGCGACTGGCCCCTCTGCAAGATGAAAGCTTTACAGTTGTGCGGTAGAAAGCACATAAATACACAGAGAAACACTAAATCTTGCACCTTATTTTAAGGAGTTTTCAGTCCCCCTGAATCCCAACCACAGATTCTTTTAAGGAAAGTAGGTTGAGAATGGCCAGGCTATAAACAATGAAATCGACTGAGGTTATTACGAACTTCAGGGAAAGAGGTTAGGATCTAGTGCAGAGTCAGTGGACCACAGTGGTGGCACCAAATACAGGTCCAAAAGTGAAAGAACACTATAAAATTACATCTACACTCCCATCTTCTGTGATTGGTTCAAATCGTTAACAGAATAAAGAAAACACTAGTAGGTTCTGTTTCATGTTAGGCAGCGTGTACCACGGCATGACCCTAAATCCCACAACACCACTAATGGGGTCGGCAGTGCTGTCTTATGAAGAAGCAATGCCACACAACCCACAAGCATGTTCACCGAGATCCACCAACAGAGCTGACTCCAAAGCTTGCACTTAAACCTCTACGCCATTCGCATTCCCAGTAAGCAGTGAGTGCCCTCCCAAAGGAAAGTGAAGTAAGTGTACTAATTATCTGCTCTGTGCCCCCGATGAAGTACGGGGTCTTCCCATGTCATTACTTTTACCTCCCAGGGAATCAAAGAATTTACTTATTAAGAAACATGTGACAGTAAAAACTTGTTATACTTACCCTAATGACGTATTGATAAATTATCACAAGGCTGACAGCCATGGAAATGTTAGCAAGGAATGAAAGCACAAACAGATTCTTCAGCTCACGAATGAAGACCAAGAGAATTATAAACGGAAGAAAGCAAAGCATATATATCCGTAGGTCAATACTTCTTCTCTCACATGGGTTTGATGAACTGGTACTATTTGAAACAAACACTTTGCTCTCCAGGAAGCCTTCGTGAACCTACATAGGATTATCAAGAGAATCAGAAAGGGGGAAGGGGAAAACTTCCATCAACTTATAATCATACAGTGGTATATAAAGAAACTTATGACCTATATACCAATGATAAAGTCCTTTACAATGTTTGCATTTTTCAAGATACTCCAGCTTCATTCATATATATATAAAATCTCAAATTTAAGGATAATTACAATAGGACCACTTTCTTCACAAATTATCTTCCTTTACCACACTGTGAACAGATAGTTCACTAGAAAATTACAAGGGTAGTTTTACCCATTTATTTTGAAGCTTTGTGACTAACATGATGCTTCACGATCCCTGCAAAGCCTCAATCTGCTTCTGAGATAATGAAAGGAGGAAGCACACTTGTCCAGAACGGCCACTGGTACGCACTTCAAGTTATTTTTTCAGGGTAGAAAGCTCTAAGTACCTCTTAGAAATGTACAGTAGGCAAAATAAAATGTAGAAACCATAGCTTTAAAATTGTCGTATAAATCACTCATACATTATCGTAGTATCAGTAAGTATTTATTAAGAACCCACTAAATTCATGTGTGGCCATATTTTACAAGGTAGATAAAATTTTGCTAGAGCAAAAAAACTTCTATAAAATAAATCAACTTTACCTTAAAGTTTATTCAGACAAATTTTGCTAGAGCAAAAAGCTTCTATACATCAACTTTTCTTTAAAATTCATTTAGCTACTTCTATAAACCAATACTGTTCTGAAAATAGATACAATGATTTATAGGATCCATGTATAAAAAACTGTCTCAGATTCAACTACCACATACCTAACTTACTAAAATTGAAATGCAATGATAGAGAACTTTTAAAAATGATCTTGAAAACTCACAGCAGAGGCGGATCACACCATAATTTAAACACCAGTGGAAACCCATTTGCCCCCAGTACTGTCCTCTCCTTTGAACACAATGACACCATCAAGTCTCTGGACACACAAATTCTTAAGAACCAGACCCTGTTATTACCAGAATAATAACAACAAGTATCTTTTGAGTATTTTCTATGTGTCTGTATGCCGCCTCATTTAAATCTCAAATGGGTAGTAGTAATTCATTTCAATTTATAGTTGAAGAAACTGAGGTTTAAGGAGTGTAAAGAAAACTTACATAATATCAAGCCAGTAAGTGATGGTTCTAGAATTCAAACCTAGGCTTGAGATTCCAAAATCTAACTTGCAACCACTACAAGTTAACCTGACCAAAAAACTGCCACCCTGAGCCGGAGCGGGCTGGGGGGGCTGCTGCTCAGGTAACCATCTGACCTCCATTCCAACATCTCTAAATATAGTCAGCATGAACAGGCCAGCAGATCAGAAGTTTAGAATGAATTCTCATATGGTCCACAATTCAAGTGCTTCCTTTAATTACACTTAAAATCCATGATACACAACATTTAGTGCAACTGAAAAGGCACACGTCATCTTCAACTGCAGGGAATATATCTACTAGTTTCAAGTTATACAAACAATTCATTACTAATACTGGACTAACAAACTCTCTGGTTGCACCATGCACCATTTAAGAAACTCATAACTCACATTTATCTTGGAACTAGCCATCAAAACTTTATATAATTTTCTATAACCTGAAATAGAAGCTGAATTGGTAAGTCACATTACTTGGCTCTTGAGAAGATATTTTATTTGTTCACTTAATTTTCTCAGTAACCTAATTATTTGGAGCCAAATAATTCCACATCAAAGAAGTAACTACTGTAATTGGATTAAACACTGATCCGAATTAAGCTCTAACCAGGAGAGCTGGCTGGCAAGAGAAAAGCAGTCAGAGTTATAAAAAAAGCTATTTGGATCATTAGGTGCTTGGGAATCTGAAATTAATTCTATCACAAAGATCTCATAATAATTTAGTATTCTTTGGCAGAACAACAGTTATAAAAATTTTCAGGACTAAACAATAAAATAAAAATGCGGATACATACCCAGAGCAAGATTCAGGTAAACATTTGAGTCGTTGGTGCCCTCTAGAGACAGAGATTGGCTATCTAATAGGACTTCCTATGATCTCACATGTTTACCAAAATGCAAAACACTGAAATAAATATTATAAAATAAAATTACTAAATTCAGTTTTTTCCACTTAGAGCTCAAAGTTACTAAACACCACTACTTATTAACTTTTCAAGTATTCAGTAATTTAATGGTTAAAATTCCAAAGACAGATGTGTTTCAGCAAAGCTACAATCAGAGTCAAAGCCATATTGCCCTACATTTGTATGCTGTTTCACATTTGACAGTGTTTCACAAACCTTTTGTGAGCTGAGCCTCACAATAAGTTTATGAGGAACAAGGGGAGATTCTGTTACTATTCCCATTTTACAAACAAGGAAACTGAGGCTTGAGCAGAGATAAGGGTCTTGTCCAACGTGTGAGTTAAAACTGAGAGAGTCAGGATTTGAATACAGACCTTCTGACTCTAAAGCCCATACCAAGTCTTTGTTATTGCTACATTTCTCCCCTAATGTAACATCCCTTCCCCACTCTCAGGCCCACGTATACTATTTTATCTGTCTGAAATTTTCTCAAGTATCTGAGAGTAAGAACAGAGAGGAGCTACAACCACCATGGGCTAAGTCATCGAAGCACTACGGCTTTTTCACCCTGCTGATCATCCGCCGTGGCTTAATGAGACCAAGAACAGCCATACACCCGCTACAGAGCAGGAGACTCACACCTCTGTTCAACAACAAAACCCTTCATCCTTTAATTTGATACAATACCACACCTTCAATTTTGTGTAATTAAGACAGTAATAATCTTACAGTTTTTATCTATATTAGCAGTAGTAATCAGTAAGGTTCCATCAGCCCATGTGTCTATTACTGGAGACTGCTATTGAACACAGGAGATGCCTCTGTAGAGAGTGAAAAATCTCTGATGATGCAGCTTCAGTGACCATCCATCTGCTCTGCTGAGGTGACAGGTTCATCATTCCTTTCAACTTTTCTTAAGTCAGTGAATGTCTTTTTCCCTGTTGCTCTTTATGCCTCAAAAGGACTTTCGTCTTCCTATCTGTAACAGGCATTCTCTTTAGCTCCAAGTCACTTTTTCTACCTGGTATTCTAGTATATGTGCAAATGAGTTAAATTCTTCTGCTTAACTTTCAAAGCAACTGATAATAATTTATAAGAGAAAGGCACCAATCCTGAGCTTACAGACATTTATTTTATGTACTTCGCATACTCTTTGTGCCACACACACATACACACACCACTGAAAGCAGACAATGTTCTGCCCGATGACAGCCAACAAATATACTGGGTGGCAGCTGTCAGAGACCTGGACTTCAGCCCGATCCCTGGGACTCAGGTCACACTGCTCATGCCCTGTGAGACTCAGTTTCCTCATTCATAAGATGAGCACAGTTCTGACATTACAGAGTAGTTGTAAAGATTAAGTGATATATATCACAGCTTATAAATATAAGATGATAGGGTATTATTAGCCTTAATTATTATTCATAAATTCAAATCAAGTTTGTTGGTCGCTCTCTCAGGAGATGATGAGGAGACAACAGTCCAGCACCACGTTGCACAGCCCTGGCAAGGCATCACTTGCACTGCATGTGAACAGCTGGTAAGACGGTAAGTCTTGCCAGTTCTCCCTCTCACCCGAGTTAGTAGTCCTAGGAAAGTGCAACTTGTGGAATTAGATAACTACAAAATTAAAAGCACATCATCTATAATGAGTAATGCTAATGAAAGCATCAACACCCTTATTCATAAAAGGGGATTTGACTCAGTGAGCCTTCCAACACTGGAAATCTAAGCTAGTGGCTTTAAAGCACACTGTGGCCCACAGACCAAACCTGGCCTATTTTTGCAAATACAATCTTATTGGAATACAGCTGTATCTATCTGTTCATGCATTGCTGTCTATCACTGAGAGACAGAGACCACATGGCCTACAACACTGAAAATAGTTATTATCTGGCCTTCTACAGAAAAAGTTCGCCAATTCTTATCTAAATATAAAATGAAGCATACTTTATACTTAGAAAAATGAGTCAAATATAGGACTTATATGTATATCTATGGGTCCTTTAGAAAACATTCACATCATAATTTTACATTAAAATACCTACTAGACAAGTGCTATATATCATTACTATGTATAACACCTACTATTGCACATGTGGATAATTAACCAGTGTTATTCATTAAAATAACTAAGGAGCAATATGTAATATAGGAATAATTAAGGCAAACTACCAGTGAAAGCACATAAAGAAATGTGCTCTGGCCTTGTTTTGATAGGAGAGCTTTTTTATTTCAGTGCTTTGCATATTTGTTCAAATTGACAGTCTCTGCTAAGACCATGACCACTTCCTCTCAAAGCAAACGATTCAATATGGGGAGCATTAGAGAACACTGCACATTTCTGGACACAGCATCTTTTTAGACAATAGCAATAATCACTGGATTTTAGTCATGGCCACTTTTGTACTTCACTTTTTAGGCTGCTGGCTAAAGCTTTACATAGTCTTTATAAAACATCAATGCAAAAAATACGCTCCCAAACATCTGTATCTAAATTTTGAGTAGCTAAGAATCAGGAAATATGTCCTGCTCTGATCTGAAAGAACAAGCATTATTGATACAATGACAAGAAAAATAAGATCACCAAGAATAACAGAAATCCAACTTGCGAAATGGAAAATCTACAAAGGAACATGATTAAGGAAAGAAACACAACTGCATATTTATTTTTAACCATGGCTTACTCAGAGGAAATACAATGCTATGACTATGGCATTGGGAGAAAATGACTTTGGTAACAGGAGAAAAATACTTACTTGTTTCACATTTTCAGCTAAGAAGACAATATAAACACTACAGAAGCCCAGTTGTGTTATCACCAGAAAAAAGTCAACCACACTCCTGAAAAGAGATGCCCTCAAATGAGTATTAATAAGAGCTGCCGAAATGTCAGTCCATATTTTCTCTTTTTAACTACTTTAAAACATTTTATAGTAGTGTATATTCTTTTCCCTTCCTTAAAATAAGAAATGGAATTAAATTATTTATTTTCTACGAAAATCATACTTATGATCAGTATGTCACTACAGTTATTATTGAGCAAAACAATGTTCCATTAAGTTAAAAGGCCAAAATTTTCCCATCGCTTATTTCTGAAATCCAACAGTTTATGAGTATCTGCTTATGAAATGACCTAATAAGCACATTTCTTCTTTTAGATTAAGTGCATCTCTCCTACTTCTCAAGATTTTTTTCAGATCAACCCAGTGTATTTCCCAGCTCTCCCAGCTTCATGTCATTTGCAAATATGATGAGAATACTCTCTATGACCAAATCACTAATAAGAATATGGAATGGGAGGTTAGAGGGCCATGGCCCTAAATCATACCCCCGGAGACCTCTTTAGCTCTGTCCTTCTTTTTTAATGACATTCTGTAGTTAGCTCCAGATACATAAAATAGTGTATGGGAATGGGGAAGGGATATCAACAGTCAAATTAGCATTATTTGGACATGGCGGTTAATCGAGTTACAAATTGGCCTGCATGTCAACAGACAGCCCATACTTCTCAATTTTGTTCTGGGAACAATAGGTGACTATAATAGCATGCACCTATTCATTCATTATAGCCTCTTGTTTGAGCATCAATGTCAAGCTGTCAAATAATCTGGTCCACAAATCTACAAACCTTCCTTCTGCCATTTGAAACTAGAGAAGCCCTTGCCTGTATCTTCATTCCTGCCATATCCCTATAGTTCTCCATGGTTCCTCAGGGATCTGATTTGTAAGTAACCCTGGTACCCTGAAATGAACTCAGGTTTCTTCTCTCCGATGAATTGCATTTAAGAATTCCCTTAACATCTCTTTATGTGCCCTGGACTTTAGTACCCCAGCAATAATCATTCCACCCCCTTCCGCATGAAAGCCATTTTTCCTGATAGAAAAAACAGACAAGGCTGCCTCTAGACTGGAGCAGAAGGAAGATGAAGATTCAGTGCTGGGGGTAGAGCCCTAGGGCATGAGACTCTGTTTTCTTTCTTTTCCTACTTGCCATACCAAGAACTGAGAATCTCACAAACAAATCTAAACTCCTAGAAATCCTAGACAGGCCATATTTAACCCTAAACTACTCTATTTACACTGATCTTCTTCTTTTAATTTTCACTGCACATATCATTTGTACCACAGTCAGCACTTTGTTGATTGACCGTGCTTATTTTTCCAGGCCTGTATTCATCTGACTTTGATTAGCCTTGCCCACCAATGACACAGTCACATTTAAACAATGAGAGCATGCTGAAATACATGCTCCAGATGTCTTATAAGCATGTAGCGTAATTTTATTTGAAATAATGTTTTAACTTTTTTCTTGTTCTTTTCCTTTACTTAAAAAATCACTGAACATGCTTATACCACAGGTCAGCCCAGTGCTTTATACATAAATACCATTTTATTTAAACTACAGTAGTAAGCCTGTGAAGCAAGTATTATTATGAACTCATCTAATAATGAGATAACTAAAAGAAAATGATAATTTGACCCAAGTCACAAAACTGAAAAATGGTGGAATTGAGATCTGAACCCAAGTCTGTCTAACTCTAAAGATTACATTTATTCGCCAAACTTTATCATACTTCTATTTAGTATTTTATCAGATTATGTTACTTAAAATTAAAGTCATCTCAATAACCAGATATTAACAATGCAGCAAGGCCTTACCGTCCCCACGCTGCTTGCCTCTGAAGACAACTCCAAGGACTTACTTCCATAGCAAAACTCACAGTGTCACTATAACCTAATGTCGACTTTTTAAACCTGTAATGTAATAACATACATGTACATGAAAAAAATTAAGCTGGTTCAGAAATCCTCCCCTTGAAAAGAATTTTCTCATATAAATAAGAAATAATGAGCACAGAGCTATGCTCTGACAGAGGAGTTTTTGAAATTTCAAGAACTGCATACTCCTAAAGTATGTCTCATGAAATTCAAATACTTTATATCTGTCCTATTCCCAATATATTATTTTTATCTACTCTAAAAGCTTATATATTTGTAGGATTCATATGACATAATATTTGTACTTTACCAATTTAAACATTTCAATTACCTAAAAACATCAACTACATTGTTCATGCCTCCGTTATTTCATTATTAGAAGAGTATTACTTAATACATCTATACAAGGCTTTACAATATATTTTCGAATATATATCTTATTTAATCCTCCAAATAGCCCCAAAAGGCAGGTCTTAGTTCTGCTGTCCTCTCTCCCACTTTTTAAAAAGTATACATTGTGATTTACAGATCATAACTGACTTACCCAAAGTTTAAGAACGTTTAAAACAATAACAACAGTTAAAATTTGAGTATTACTTTACTAGATTAGACAATAATTATTTTTTAAAAGTCAGCCCATTGTCCGGTAGAAGCATTTCATGACACAAAGAAAAAATATTACTTTATAGACTAACTACAAATCCACCTATCACCAAAGAACACTTAAGTCATTATACCCCAAACTGAATTACTAACAAATTAAGAGCCTTACACTCTAACTTAAAGCAGTACTGCTTCCTTCATTCCCCATATATTTTTCCTGAGTTTTTTAACTTATACTAAATAAACCATTATATTTCACTAATAAGACTACATTTTAAAAGAAGTAAACATATATAACCAGATTTCACTAATAAGGCTGTATCTTAAAAAAAGTAAATAGGTCCATGTAGTTCAGCGGACATCCAATACACCAAGGTTATGGGTTTGATCCCTGGTCAGGGCACATAAAAGAATCAACCAATGAATAGACACATAAGAACAACAACAAATTTATGTCTCTTTTTCCCTTCCTCTCTCTCTTTAAAATCAATGAAAAAAAATAGATTTTGACTAGATTTTAATCATATGAAATACTACCTTTTCCAAAATTATCTTAAATTTGTTTATATAACAAATTACAGGAAATACAACTGGTAGTTGCAAAGCAGAGTAAAAATATAAGACTATCCAATGCTTTCAATAACTACACAGCTTCAAAATAAATAAACTTAACAAATACACATTTACCTCTGAGATAGAAAGTGACTGCAACGTACCAAAATGTGCATACAGTGAACAGAAATAATTCCTATAAACACAAGGCTGATTGGTCCAAGCTATAGGGGAAAAAAATATAAGGTTTAAATATTTAAGTTTCACAAACATTAAGTTGCCTTATAAGCAATGAAACAATAAACTACTGATTTGCAGTAAACAAATATTTGTTGGACAAAATGGTTAAATGGTTATTTGCATCAGGGAAAGCTAATCAACCGGATACCAAAAGAATTTCAGTAATACTTAACCACATATGATTCTATCTTACCAACCTGGCTACCTAAACCTATGAATACACAGTGTACATCTGCAACAAAGTGGGATGGATGCAACATCCCACTTAACATGAGACAGCAAGTCTGTCACTGCCAGTGCCACACAGTAATAACCATATGCAACTATGAATCGTTATCTAAGTGACTGAAAAAGCACTGTATCAACCTGGGACTACGGGTGACCCACTTCTATAGACGGCCTGGTGGACACTTACTACGTGTGGGAACCTGAGCCTAGCAAATGATTATCTGAAAAAGTTGTACATAACAAATTTCAAGTATTTATTACTATAATTAAAGTTATTCCTGGATTATTGAGACATAGACAAAATACTGCCAAAGCATATTTTATAATTGGCATTTTTAAGTTTGTCTAAATTAGGATGGACAAAGTCAAATGCAGAGAAAGATGATAACTAAAACTGTTTTTAGAAAACTCATCATTCAAAAAAGATTAAGTATAATCTAATTACTTCATAAGTGAATTATCCTTTATCTAGAGTCTCTAATTACAATAACTAGTCCTAATAATACTTTAAATATTTGTTTTCAAAAGATGTTTTTCTTTTCCTTTACTATTATTTTTTAAACCTGAAAACTATGTCTTTTTTTCTGAATCTAAAAAACCATAAAATTTCACTAATACAAATGATCTGCTCTATAAATGTATTTGCTGATATGAGTACACTGCTTAAATCCCTGAAAATCCAAGAATAATAAGATAGAAACATACCTGAAAAAAATCAAATACTATTTTATGATTTTTCAGTCAAATAATATACATTAATTAAGTAGGGAAAAGCAATTAATTACCATTTTTTGTTAGGTGCTATTATCTTAATTTACATAACTTTATCAATACAATGGCTAAATGATTACTAATTGTCATCTGACCATGTTCCAGTTGACAAGGCCAAGCGACAATCTGCGGTGACTTCTGCTGTTCATTAAGGCTGATGACTATCTTAACTAGAGAGTCTTACCACCACGCCTGCATTCTTTATTGCCAACGGGAGTCCTAAAAGGCCAGTTCCAATATTTCCTTTAAGAAGATGCATAAGAGTCTGTAAAAATCTGAAAAGTAAAAGTTGTAAGATTTAAACATTTTAGGACAAAAGCTATTAAAATCACACCATCAGGATTTTAGCATTGGGAGGTAACTGAAAATTAATCTAGGCAAGGAATCACTTCCATTCAACCAGACGTTAAATGGACCAGAAGTTATTATGTGGTTCAAGTTCCATCTTTGCCACTTAAAACGAAAACACAGAGGGTTATCATGTAGATTGTATGAGATATTTAAGTAAAGTTATTTTGTACATATTAGAGTCATAAAGAAAAAGTAATTTGCTCATAAGATTCTTTGCTGCTGTCGTATTCAGGACCATGTTGAGGATTACAGCTGGGCCGGCAGGACATGGATTCACTGACACTGTCTATGTAATCACAGTATTAAACGTATTGGTCTGGGATCTGTCATCAGCATAAGAGGAAGTGAACTAAACGAAAAACATACTAGTTTTGAAACAATGTGTGCCACCAGGTAACATAAATACTAGTTAACTTTCAGACTTTATGAACACCCTAAGGGACTTCACCTAATAAAAGTTTCCAAGAGGCATTTGAAGGAGGTCTCTTTACCACGAAAAAAACTAATTAAACTAGGAAGACTAGCACAAGATTCAAACTTATGAAATAAAAATGTTTGTTTAAAAATTTTAGTTTATAGTATTATTTTCTTATCAATTATAATGTTACTTTGCTTAATCATTAAATTATCATTGGAATAGGGACATAAATCTATTAATGATGATAAAATAATGAAAAAGGTTTTAAAAAGTTCCACTGCATAAAGGGTTTGCTACTTACTTCCCACCATCTAATTCCCAACCATTTCAGAAGCAACAGCTCTTAGAATTTCTATTCCTCTCAGTCAGATCTGCCCTCAAGGTTCATAGCATTTGAAATGTATCATCCTCGTAGTAAGTCCCGTACACTGCTCTGTAATTTAGATGTATTTCTTTTTTCCCAAACAGCCTATAAATACCTTGAGGGCGGGGACTTTGTCTTTCATCTGTGTCTCCCGTAGTCCCTAGTAAAGTGCCTCACCAGTGCAAGGTCCTGACACAACACACACTGAGTGAAAAGAAGAGGAGACGTATAAACCGGAACACTTACGAAATACCCTCCTGACCCTCAAGCTGGTAATGCTTCTGAACAGGAAGGAGTTCATGCTCATGTTCTTCATCTGATGTCCCATCAAAATTCTGCTCATTTATTAAGGGTCTCATTACATCCATATCTTTAAAGAGAAAAAACAAGGCACTTCACTATTATTTTGAAAGCTGGGCTAGGGCTAGTACAAATTAATTTTTTTCAAGTAGAACATAGCACTGGCACTCATCTTTACTATTTCTACCCTAAATTAATTCACATTAACACCCGAGTTTTAGTATTCTGAAAAAGAAACAACTAGATTTATGTGCTGGATATTTTGTTTGGACTAAGCAGTACAAAGTGAAAAGCATAAGTATTCAATGCAAAAGTTTCTGCTTTGTCTATATGATGTTTACCCTAAATGATCATAGAATTATGGGATGAAAAATGAAGAAATAATCAAATGAATTCTCATCTCATTAGCTTCAAACCATACTATATATTGAATACATAAGTAACAATCATATTTTCAAATAATGATCTAGTTGGGAATAAATGATTAACATATAACATTTTTAAACGTTTTATTTTGGAATAATTTCAAATTTACTTTAATTTTCGAGAATAGTACAAAAGCCCTGACCAGCGTGGCTCAGTTGAGTGGGGGCCCTCCTGCAAAGCTACAGACTGCCTCTTCCATGCACGTGCCTGGGTTGTAGGTTCAGTCTCCAACCAACCGATGTTCTCTTCCTTTCTCCCTCCCTTCCCCTTTCTCTGAAAATAAATAAATAATTTTTTTTCAAAAAGATTTATAACAATTTATTAAAAAATAGTACAAAAAAACTTGTATGTACCCTTTACATACTCACCTATTTTTAACACTTTGCCACATTTGCTTTTTCTGTCTCTGATGTACATCACTTTTTATAAACTGAGAGTAGGTTACATATATCATGCTACTTTACCCTATGCATTCCCTAATAACAAAAACATTTTCTTGAATATTCACATTACAGTTACCAAATTCAGGTACTTTAATCCTGATGCACTACTTTTATTTCATCTATATTCCAATATCCCGATTTCTCAATCGTGCCAATGTAGTTCTCTTCATATTTTTCTCGGTGCAGAATCATGTGTTGCATTTAGTTATTACACGGGGCACCTTTGCCATTATGGCTTTTATGATATGATGCCCTTAATCCTTTTTCCTTAATCTTTCATTGTCTAGTTTGTCAGTTTTTTTAAATTTAAAATGTCATTAGTCATTAATATGGTAAACACTGTCCTGTATTAAAAAACAATGACATTTGTCTTTCAATCTGCCAAGCTTAGCTAAAAATTCATGTGTCTATTTTACATCATATATTGACATGATATAGGATTCAGGATGCTAAAATAAATTTAACAGGCATTAAATAATTTCACACATACGCACAATCTTGAATAGTTAAAAGTATAGATGAACATTAATGTGGGTACATGAATATTCAATGTTCACCCGTGAACTTAAGAGAAGATGTGTTTGCACTGATTTCTGGTAATCAACTTGCTTTCTGTGAATCTTCAATCATCCAATTCCAAATCGTCCGGCTCCTACAGAACGGCTGTCTCCTTTTGAATTTTCTCGACTGTTTTTTTTTTTTCCTAGCTGTTTTCCAGTTGCTGCTTGTTCCTTCAGTTGTTCAACTGCTTTCAGTTTCTTCTTTAGGTTTTTTATTTATTTATTTTATTTTATTTTTGTCTATCTCAGGATCTCCGGAAGTTGACTGAGAGAATACTTTGTGCTGTGCTCTGTGGCGCCAGAGCAGGTGTCAAATCTGGACTCACCGCTTCTTGCTTCCTGCTTTACAGTTTTAACCGTATCTCACCTTCAAATTTTAAGGGCTGTTTTTGATAATGGTTTGCCATTTCATGATTATGGTTTCATGTTCTGAGGTGGTTCCTCATGCAGCTTGGAATTGGTGACTGGTTCATTTCTTAAAGCTGGGTGTCTATAACCTGTCTATAAACTTTAGGCAATTTATTGGCTACGTCACTTGGAATTGAAGGGTAAATTACTGCTTTTGCTAGAGATATTCCTTTAAAACAAATGAGTGTCAAGAAACTGGCCATGATTCCACATGTGATGGAAGACCACACTTGTGCAAGACAGAGCCAGTATAAGGCCAGCTCTTGCACCCACAGGAACACGCAGCCTAGGAGCACACGTGGCTGTTAAAATATGCTCACCATCTGGGCACCAAGTATAATAGGGATAATGAGAGGCCACTAGTTTAGAAATAAGTTTGTAGCTTTTAACATTCCACATGTTCATTTGTCACCTCAGGTTTCCAAATCCAGCCAGTACTAACATATGTCCATGAAGGCTACAGCCGGCCACATTATGGGGACCAGCTCCAAAGTCAAACACAAGATTCACTTCAAGTTAAAAATCTGCCACTTTGGCGGGCATAAAGTCACAGACAGCACAAAACTCAGTAGAACTACAATTCCAATGTACATTATAAACGGGACCATTTTTTGGCAACTGCTCTATAGCACGTCTCCATTTGCTGCAACATAGTGCAGCATTTATTACTCATAGTAGGAAGTTCCCGACTTGCCAGTAACACCTGAACCAGCCATTACCGACCCAGCAGACTTTTCCTTCCACTGCACTGTATGTAACCTTATCTGCCCCAAAGACCGCTTTTGGCTAAAGTGACACGAGCCCATCAGAGGTGGGGGACTGATAGAGTCTAACAAACGAAGCTGCACCCTTACTTCCTGGAACACAGGCAGCCGCCCTGTGTGACTGAGGAACCAGATGATCAATAATTTTTTGAAAATGCAATTTATTTGCAATTTTATTGAAACTGTTGTTTTCAAAGAGATCTTCCACGTTAACATTTCGGGCACAGTTTCATCTTCTCACCAAGATGGACACCAATTTTGCATATTTTTCTGGATGAAAGATTTCAAATATGCCCCAATTTCCACATCACGAAGGTGGGAATCCCAGCTGTGCCGCCTCTGAAAGCAGCATAAGGCTACCACACTGCCAGGACAGTATTTTTGGGCAAGGATTCAAGGCAAACTGCCTTTGGGGCTGAAGAGGAGCAGAAGTCCCTTGTTAGTGACACTGATAATGTTCATTTTGTTCTCCATTGCCCCAGGCAATCAAGGTCCTATCCTTATTAAAGCTGCACTGTGCCATTTTTCCCAGACTTTCCCAGTATTTCACGGAAATACTGTGTTTTCTGTGAAACGTGGTGCTTGTTCACCAGGTACAGTCCTTTTTGTACTGTCAGGAGTGGTGTGAATGGTGCTATTTTGTCCTCGAAAGAGCTCGTCAGTTTTAAATGGCATCCATTACCTACACAATTACTGGTCTTATTCTACTTTTGCCATTCTGTCTCTTATTCCCTCAGTTTTTAGTTGTATTCTTTCCACTTTGGTAATATATACAATGCTTTCCATAGTGCTGTCCCAGTCACATCCCCACACATATCTGAGGCTTATACATACAATCAATATATTAAACGTTTGCTATCAGTCCTCTGCCCAAGTTTGTTCAGTCATCCCTTGGCTGGAAGTTGTTCATTCTTCTGTAGAATTTGCCTCAGAATGACCTGCAGGGCTTGCTAAAATACAGATGGATGTGCTCTGCCCCAAAGCTTCTGATGCAGCAATTCTGGGGTGGGCCCGAGAAAAAACGCATTTCTAACGAGTGCCCGGGTGATGCCGATGCTGCTGGCCTACAGACCACACTTCGGGAAGCACTGCTCTAGCACCGGGTTGGCCAGAAATTTCATCTGGTTTTTCCCGTTATAATGGCTCCAGTAGCATGTGGTTGTCTTTAACGTCATTTGAAACAATTTTGTCAGGCTGTGTAGTGACAGCTGTCATATCAGCATGCATTAAAAAAAACTTATCAAAATTGGTGAATTTTGGGGTATCCATTTTATTACTGAAGATGAAAGAAAATACACATTTCCAGCATATTATGCTTTATTATTTCAAAGGTAAAAATTCAACTGAAATGCAAAAAACGCTCTGTGACGGTCTTCCGTCACATGTGGAATCATGGCCAGTTTCTTGACACTCATTTGTTTTAAAGGAATATCTCTAGCAGTGTGTGGAGAAGGTGCTGTGACTGACTGAACGTGTCAGAAGTGGTTGGCAAAGTTTCATGCTGGAGACTTCCCCCTGTGATGCAGTCACTGGCAAACAGTGTCCCCTGCATTGTGGATGAGCCATGAGACAAATCACACAGGCTACCCAGTCCTGTGGAGGGAAAGGGACAGCACGGCCACTCTCTCAAGGGGAGAGTGCGCCCCGACACTTGCCTTGACAAGCTTTTATTGCTTTTCTGGGCACATTACATGATGATCCCCATTCACTATGCACAGGTTGCTTTAGGTGGTGACCTTTTACAGAAAACAAAGGAGAGGATGCCGCAATTACATCACAGAAGAAGGATATTTGCAAATGCAAAGGGAAAAGTGGTTGAACTGGTTACACTCATCCTTGGAAGATTTTAGGAAGTTGCCTTAAAGATATACAGTAAATGTTTGCTACCTCAATTCAAGGTAAGGGAGTTTCAGCAAAAAGCAAGTCTCAAAGTGGCCTAGGTACAATGCAGGCGTGATTCCCCACGGGAGAACGTATCTGTGGGCGTGGGTCCTGTCTGGGCTCACGCCATGCAGAACAGTCTCTTATACCAGTGGACAATGCTCCATGGTCAGATAGACCAGCTGATGTTGACAGAGATTGAGACAGTAACTGAAAACAATCTATGTCATACCATGCAGCTCATAATATCCAGATCAATAACGTTATTGGTGAAAATAAAAGTGTCTTTTATTTTACAAAAAAAAAAGGACTTTAGCCAACCCAAGAGGCCCCTCAGGAGGGGTTTAAGCACACAGTATTCCGAGTCTCGCAGGTGTTAAGCCATTCTTCTATGGCTGTGACGTGGAGGGCAACACGATATATCACCTTCGGCTCACACGTTTTTCTATTCTTGAGTTTCCTGAAAATGCTGCTCCACTCTTTCCTTCCCTTGCATGCTACCCTGGGGAAGTCTGATGCCAGACTAATCTTCTCTCAGTCACTGTAATTTGTTCTTTTTGCTTGAGGTCCTGAAGATTGAGTTGAGTG